ATGTATCTAGACAGATACATGAATGGGCAAGGAGCAGAGGGATACAGGTCCTTGGAAAAGGGTCTAGGCCCGAAACGTCAGCCTTTCTGCTCCTACGATGCTGCTTGGCCTGCTGTGTTCATCCAGCTCTGCACCTTGTTGTCTTGTAAAATTGAGACTGTTTTCATTCAATGGAATGAGATGGAATAAATAGACCATTTGAGCATTTATGAAGACTTTCAAATGAAATTTGAGACATTTAGGACAAGGAAGAGAATTTTTTTCTCTTTTTTAAATACTTATGAGGCTCTACCAGGGTGAATAATAAAAGCAATCAAGTCAACTTTTAACAACAGATTAGATGGTTGGTGGTTAAAGGAAACAGAAATAAAGGGACATAGAACAGGTAGACAAATGCTTGTGCAGAAAATAAACAATGCCATAGACACTGTTCCCATGCTGTAATATGTAATGAATAGTCAAAAATAGAACAAAGGTCACAGGATATGTGATCAAACTAATTTACAACACAGTTGCAAAATACCCCTGTTTCTTGTCCCCGGCAGATAAGTAATATGGAGTCAGCGCAGCAAAGACTCCCAAGAATGATTCTTGCTATTAAAAGATCCAAGCTCTAAGGTAAGACAGAAAGGACTTAGGCTTATTAGGCTAGCAAATAGCCTTGTTTCCATTTGTGCATGGGATGTGGGTATCATCAGCTAGACCATCATTTAATGCCCATTCCTGATTGCCCTGGAAACACTAATGGATTGCCCCTATAGTGCATGATTTTGAAAGTAAATAAAGAGTAAGAAATTAAACTTTAACAATGCTTCATCTCAGAAAGAGGATCATAATTCCCTTCCTAAAATGCCTGCTTCCCACCTCTCTCAGGCTCAACATAGGAATTACAGAGGAACATACAGGTGCTCAAGGACTTCACACGTGCCAAGAACTATTATAGATTTAAATTCAAAAGCAAATATGTTCCAATTTTGAAATAGCTTAATTATTTCAGTCAACCAAAAAGCTCATCCCTGGAGTGGATTAATTACATACTGTAATTGTATCATTGTGAAAATAGGATGGGATCAGACCAATAAAGCATACCCTAAAAGCTGGCTCATTCTCAAGAGTGCAAATTTACAATAATCTACGCCCAAAATTAGGACAAAGTTATCACAAAATAATGGTGATTGCTATAGTCACCCATCAGGTGCCCATCTTTTCTTCCAAGGCTGTTGCTGGGACAGTACGGTGTAATTCCTCCTTATACAGGTCAGTCATTCATGTGGGAATCTTGATAACTTTGCAATTGTAATAGTAATAACTTTAGCAGCTTGGTATATGCAATGAACTTGCGTCAAGTTCGTTATTCAATGTAATTTTGAAAACAAATTTTCAAACTTCCATCCTGATTAATATTCATGTTTGAAGGCAAGGATACCTGCACTGGGATCTAGAACACTCATAACTTTGGAATCTTTAGATAAGTCTCCCCAAAAGCATTACAACACAGATTATTTTTACACCACTCTAAATGCTGTGTCTTTTACACATTTAAAGCACACGCATAATTTGTTTAAAACATTTTTCACAGAAGTCACCTGTATAACAACCATAATGCAGGCTCCCAACACAAAACAAATCTATGTACTAAATGGGTAATTCTATGGCATGCCAAACTCAATTTCAGACAGTCACCACACTGCTCAACATTACTGCAATGCAAACAAACACTGATGGGAAAATGATATTCAATGTAGCAAATTCTTGATTTTATTTCTTACCTGATAACCTCATTGCTCCAACTTGAGTTTTATGATCTGATCTTCAGCTGAAATGCCTATAAAACAAAAAAAGTTGATTGCAAAAGTAGAAAATACTTTTCAACAAAAAATAAATCAGAATATTGGCAGTTCAAAATATGATTCCAATAGAACTACTCCAAACTGTACTTGTTAGCAATTACACATTACAAGGTACATCTCCTAAATAGAAACTTTAAACCAAAGTTTAAAGAATCTGAAGTACAAAGCTCAACCAAGGCTGAGAAAAGTCAACGAGAAAGTAATGATTAAAGAACAAAAAAAAAAGTTTTCAAAACTATAATGGTAAGGTATTTCACAGGTGTAAGGTATGAAATGGTACTATGAATCTCATACATCAGGACTATGAGCAGGAATAGGCAATTCAGCCTCGCGAGTCTGGTCTGCAAGTTGATCATCATTGATGATCTCATGTCTGCCTCAACTACATTTTCCTGCCCAGTCTCCACAGCACTTGATTTTCTACAGTGATTAGCCAATCAGGATTTATTTGCCAACTGTTGAATTGCAAAAGATGAAAAGAACACACACCCAAAACGTGTGATTAGTTTCAGCAACCCTGGATCAGGTGGCTGTAAAAAACAAATCACAGTTCCCATGACTCATAGCTATCCATTTCTCCTTGAATTGTGCATTTTTGCAATTACTGTAGCTACTTTGGTATCATCTTTAAACAATGACTGACTTCACAAAACATCTTTTGTAAACTAATGACAAAGTAAAAATTTGACATAAACTTAATTGCTATACTTGGTGGCTACCTCAGCCTCATCTGGTTCTGCTAGTTGCTATTTAGTGACACAATATTGCATTCTCATTTGGCCTTGCACTTTGGCTTGCCACAAAGTAGGGCTGATTGATACTCAGTAGCATGCAACATTGCATCTTGTCTGGTACAGATAATGAAAAGCAAATTACGGCAGATATTGGCATCCGGAAATAAAAACATAAATGTCAGAGATACATAGCAGGTGAGGCAGTATGTGATCGCGAAACAGAGTTAACATTCAGACCGTCAGAAGCAAGAAGAAAGGTAATCAAACTGAAACATTAACTATGTTTCACTGTCCACAGACATTGTATGATTGGAATATTATCTGTTTCACTTGTTCCTTCATTATCTGTTTCACTTTATTAGGCACATTGCTGCTTTCTACTCTCCTATGGTTCCCTCCACATCTTAGCTATGTAGATGCAGTCACAAATTTGGTGAACGGACAATGCGGCAAGATTGTGGTGCAAATTCACAAACAGCGCAGCTCTTTAAAATACACCAAATGTGCTTCAGCTTTCCTTTTTCATTTGACTCTCATTTGCCAAGAATGCTGATAAGAGTGGACAACACATTATTCTTCAAATCTTGTTATGAACCTACATAGTCAATCGTCTCATCTGGCCACCAACCACTATAAAACTGGACTGGACACTATGCCTCAAACACTTGATTCATCCATGGGACAACAAATGTCTTTTTGGATACAAACTGTATGTCATATAAACTTCAGACACAAACATACATTATCTGCATATTAACATGCCTGACCTATTAGTAGGTGTAATGTGTTGAGGAAAAGTGAAGGAAAGTCAACGTTTCAGGTTGAAACTCCTTTGTCCTGACAAAGGATTTTGGCCCAAAACGTTGACTTTCCTGTTTCTCGGATGCTGTCTGACCTGCTGTGCTTTTCCAGCCTTGCACCTATAGACTCTAGCTCCTAGCATCTGCAATTCTTATTGTCTCCAGGTTGAGGAAAAGTGAAATTAGTTTAACTGATACATGGGCAGGAATATCAATGTATATGCATTACTAAGCAACACAAGAAAAATTAATCACTTACAATAGCAGTTGGGAAAAATTGTTCTCCTTTCAATTGAGAGTTTACAGGTGATTAAAGTTGAAGAGATGAACAGAACTGTTCAAAGCCATGAATGGATCCAACAAGGCTAAAATAATGAAAAACTGTTTTCAGTGGCAAAATGTCAGGACGGCCTAGATTTAAGGTAATTGGCAAAAACGTCAAAAGGAATATGAACCTTCTTTTTCAAATGGAGGAAAGCAAGTAGAATCAAGAAAGTGAATTGGCCATGCTAAATTGTCTGTTGTGTCCAAGGACGTGCAGGCTAGGTGGATTAGCCATGGGAAATGCGGGGTTACAGGGATAGGGGCTTGGTAAGGGTGGGATGCTCTTTAGGTGGTCAGCACAGATGGGCCAAATGGCCTCTTTCTGCACTGTAGAGATCCTACGATTCTAAATATGTCTGTGTGAAGCAGGATAAACAAGGGGACTAGTAGCAGGAGTAGTTGAAGTTGGAAACGCAACTAAGTGTAAAGTCCACAAGCTGTCAAGATGACTTTAAAACACAATACAAGTGCGTATTGATATAAAAGAGTCAACTTAGCTGGTTTAAGTTACTGTGGTCACACAGGATTGCATGTTACCATGATTGATGCATCAATATAGGATACAGTAACAATAACAATCTGTTAATCATATCTTTCTTGAGAAAATATTAAAGCTGCTAACACTAAACTCTCAAACCTATTATTCAGTCATTTGGAATGTTTATGAATCTCCCATTGGTGAATTGTGTTCACAAACTTCAATTATTTGGTAGCCTAACTGCGTCACGTTAATGACGGTAGCATAAGATGACTGGAATTTGATACCAAGTCAGCAGGCACAAAACAAATAAATACATGAGCAGTGGGTAAGGTTAAGGAATAGTCTTGACTGGGATGCCCTCTTCTCCACTAGTGGGGATGAGTCAATAAGTGTACAGCAAAGGGGTGTGGGGGAAACTACATTCAATATTGTCCTTCTAACCTCAAGAAAAGAACTAGTTCTTCAGAATCCTACCTTTGCATATCCCCTCGTTTGCAGGATTTTGTTTATATTAAGAAAATGTTGGAAATAAAAGGAAAAGTCCATAGAGTGGAACATAAACCAGGCTAATGCTGCAATTGTGACTGGCAAAGTTGTTCCAGCAGAGTGTCCACACTTGAAATATTAACCTGTTTTTCTATTTAATAACATTAAATTGACCCATGAACATCCAATAATATTGGTATTTCGTTCAGACCAGGTTTAGTACAGACGCGATATGACGAGGACAGCGAAAAGGCAGACTGCAGCAATTCTACAAACAATGGCCCAAGAAATCTTTATCCTGTTATCAAAACAGTTTTAAACTTTATTAGATTCAGAGGCCTGGATTTTTGTTGCATTCACTTTGGATATTCAGGACGTCAAAACACAGTACCGGTAGATAAGAACCGAATGTCAGAGGCTTCATCTTCTGACTCCCTGCTTATTGTCAATGGTAGGGGATTTAACTTCCCAAATAGAGACTGGGACTGTCATAGTGTTAAGGACTTAAGTGAGCACAAGAAAATTTTCTGATTCAGTATGTGGATGTACCTGCTAGAGAAGGAACAAAACGCGACCTACTCTTGGGAAGTAAGGCAGGACAGGTGACTGAGGTGTCAGTGAGGGTACACTTTGGGGCCAGTGAGTAATTCTGTTAGTCTCAAACTAGTGATGGAAAAGGGTAGACCGGATCTAAAAGTTAAAATTCTAAATTGGAGGAAGACCAATTTTGACAGTATTAGACAAGAACTTTCAAAAGTTAATTGGGGGCAGATATTCACAGGTAAACGAATGGCTGGAAAATGGGACACCTTCAAAAATGAGATAACGTGAATCCAGCGACAATATGTGCCTGTTAGGGTGAAGGGCAAGGCTGGTAGGTGTAGGGAAGGCTGAATGACTATAAAAATTGAGGTTTTCGCCAAGAAAAAGAAGGAACCATATGTCAGGTATAGATAGCAGGGATCAAGTGAATCCCGAGAACAGTATAAAGGCAGTAGAAGTATACTTATGAGGGAAATCAGGAGGGCAAAAAGGGGATATGAGATAGCTTTGACAAATAGGGTTAAGGAGAATCCAAAGGGATTCTACAAATACATTAAGGACAAAAAGGGTAACTAGGGAGACAACTGGGCCCCTTAAAGATTAACAAGGCTGCCTACGTGTGGAACCACAAGAGATGGGCGAGATACTAAACGAGTATTTTGCATCAGTGTTTACCGTGGAGAAGGATAAAAAAAGCTAGAGAGCTTGGGGAAATAAATAGCAACATCTTGAAAAATATCCATATTACAGAGGAGGCGGTGCTGGACGACTTAAAACACAAAGATGGATAAATTCCTGGGACCTGATCAGGTGTACCCTAGAAAGCTGTGAGAAGCTAGGGAAATGACTGCTGGAGCCCTTACTGAGATATTTGTATTATCGATAGCCACACGTAAAGTCCTGAAAGACAGCAGGTTGGTTAACATGGTGCCACTATTTAAGAAAGGTGGCTAGGAAAAACCAGGGAACTACAGACCAGTGAGCCTGACATCAGTGGTGGGCAAGTTGTGGGAGGGCATCCTGAGGGACATGACTTCCATGTATTTGGAAAGGCAAAGACTGATTAAGGGTAGTTAACATGGCTTTGCAGGTGGGAAATTGTGTCCCACTGACTTAATTAAGTTTTTTTGAAGTTGTAATGAAGAGGATTGACAAAGGCAGAGCGGTGGATGTGATCTATGTGGACGTCAGTAAGGCATTCAACAAGGTTCCACGGTACACTGGTTAGCAAGGTTAGATCACATGGAATACGGGTAGAATTAGCCACTTGGATATAGAACTTGCTCGAAGGTAGGAGATAGAGGGTGGTAGTGGAGGATTGCTTTTCAGACTGGAAGCCTGTGACCAGCGGTGTGCCACAAGGATTGGTGCTGGGTCCACTGCTTTTTGTTACTTATATAAATAATTTAGATGTGAGCATTAGGAGGCATGATTAGTAAGTTTGCAGATGACACCAAAATTGGAGGTGTAGTGGACAGCCAAGGTACCTCAGAGTACAACAGGACCTTGATCATATGGGCCAATGGGCCGAGGAGTGGCAGATGGAGTTTAATTGAGACAAATGTGAGGTGCTGCATTATGGAAAGGCAAATCAAGGCAGGGCTTAT